TGTGTTGAACAAGTTGTATTCTCAGTTTCATGATGTATCTTTATTAAATTGTGAGTCATGTTAATTTGTAAAATATTATCATAATTCATCGAGTCCATGAATTAATAAACGAACTGAGTTTTCTTTTGAATTAATTCATTCTGATATATGGGATACATGTTCTGTTATGTCAAAAACAAGGTTTAAGTATTTTGTTACTTTTTTAGATGATTTTTCTCGAATGACTTGGATATACTTCATAAAAAATTATTTCGAAGTGTTTACTCATTTTTATATTTTTCATGCGGAAATCAAAACTCAATTTAATGTATCTGTGTATGCGCTAAAAAGTGATAATGCTAAAAAATATATATCAAATTCATTTAAGAATTATATGATTCAACATGAGATTCTTCATCAGTCTCCGTATGTCGATACACTATCTCAAAACAGGGTTGTTAAAAGAAAGAACAGACATTTACTTGAAACTACTCGGGCTCTTTTGTTTCAGTGGTTCCTAAACAATTTTGGGAGGATGCTATATCCATTGCATGTTTCTTGATTAATCGTCTACCATTTACAGTACTTGAAGGTGATATTTCTTACAGTATTCTTTTTCCAAACAAGTCATTAGTACAGCCGCAGGTATTTGGTACTATTTATTATGTTTGAAATGTGCGATTCAGTATTACTAAGTTGAATCCTAAAGTCTTGAGATGCGTTTTTTGGAATATTCTTACTTACAAAAGGGATATCAGTGCTACTCTCCAGACCTTAACAAATATCTAATATCAGCCGATGTAATCTTTTCAAAGAATATATCATTCTTCTCCTCACAATCCAGCCTTACAGATCAGGTAAATGAGGATAAATGGCTCATTTATAGATTCCAACACAATACCACTACGAAGCAACCAGATAATGGTATTTCTTCTTGTGTGCCTTCTGAGCAAGCTAATGATGATGTGACTCCAACTCAAGAACCACCGCTAATTATTCATATTTATTCCAAAAGATAACAGATTAATAATACATGTCCTGCACCAGCTTTTTCATCATCTGATTTTACATCTCATAATCTTGATCTTCCCACCAGTCTTCATAAAGGTACACGTCAATGTACCCTTCCTCACTCTACTTATCTCATTGCTAATTTCATTTCATATGATCACTTGTCTCTTTCGTCTAACTATTTAATTACTTTTATAGATTCTATAAGGCTCTGAATCACTCTGGTTGGCGTAATGTCATGCTGGAAGAGAAATACTCTTGATGATAATCATACCTGGGATCTGATGGATTTAACCAAAGAAAAAAAAGTTGTAGTGTGCAAATGGATGTTTGCAATCAAAGTGAATCCAGATGCCTCTGTAGCGAGACTTGAACCACGGTTGGTAGCAAAAGAATATACTCAAACTTATAGGGTGGACTATTCTGATAGATTCTCTCCAGTGACCAAACTTATCTCTATTCGTTTATTCATATCTATTGCAGCTTTCTGAGATTGGCTCTTATACCAGCTAGACATTAAAAAATGCATTTCTTCATGGTGATTTCTTAAAAGAAGTGTATATGCAGCAACCACCTAAGTTTGTTACTCAGGAGGAATACGGAAAAATTTGTCATTTGAAAAAATCCTTATATAGTTTGAAATAAAGTCTCAACGCATGGTTTGGCAAGTTCAGTGAGGTAGTCTGTAAGTTTGAATTAAAGAACAGCAAGTATGATCATTTAGTCTTTTATAAACAATCAATAGCTGGTATTATACTTTTTATTGTTTACATTGATGATATTGTGATTACAGTCGATGATCATGCAGAAATCTCCTCTCTCAAGTCATTCTTACATACCAAGTTTACTACCAAAAACTTGAAACTGCTAAAATACTTTTTGGGGGTAGAAGAAACAAATAAGAAAAGGATTTTATTGTTTCAAAGGAAGTATGTACTTGACTTACTTGCAGAAACAGGAAAGGTGAGAGCTAAATCATGTAATATACCAATGGTACCAAATGTATATCTTATAAAGGATGACGGTGATCTCCTTGATGATATAGAGAAATACTGGCGACTAGTTGGGAAATTGAATTGTCTAGATATTGTTTATCATATCAGTGTTGCAAATCAATTTATGTCTGCACCTACAATCAAACATATTTTGTATTATTTAAAAGGTGTCTCGGGACTTGGTATAGTTTTTTGAAATCATGAACATACTCACATTAAATGTTTTACAGATGCTGATTGTACTGAATGTAAAATCAATAGAAAATCTACTACGTATTATTGTGTTTTTATTGGTGGGAATCTTGTATCATGGAAAAGTAAGAAACAAACAGTTGTATCTCGTTCAAGCGCAGAGTCTAAATATAGAGCTACGCCCCAATCCACATGTGAAATTTTATGGATACATCATCTTTTAGATGAAGTGGGTTTGAAGCCCACTCTCCTGTAAAACTCTAGTATGACAACCAAATTGCCCTTTATATTGTCTCAAATCCTATGTATCATGAGAGAACCAAACATATCGAAATTGATTGTCACTTCATCCAATAAAAGATTAAGAAAAACTTCATATCTTCTAGTTATGTGAAAACAGAAGAACAACTTGGTGATATATTCACAAATCCTCTATATGAAACACGGATTAAGTATCTTCATAACAAATTAAGCATGATTAATATCTATACTCCAGCTTGAGAGGGAGTGTTAGAATATTATATAATATCTCTATATATAATAGGGTGATTATGTTTCCAAATATATTAAACTAATTAGAAAAGAAATTAATAGGGTAATTTATATTGGTTACCATATATGATTCTATTTACATGTATATATATCCCTACTTTCATTTCAATAAAACATAAGAAATATTCAATATTTTTTCCTAATTATTTACATATGCAAACCCGCAGACACACTCATGGATACCAACATTAAATTAAGTAAAAATCTAGTTTGACATATAAAGATACTAATGTTTAGTAGGTAGATTGATTTACCTCTCACATAACAAACCAAATATCAATTTTATTATCAGGGTAGTAAGTCAATTTATGAATAACCCAATTGAAGAACATGAAAATAATACTTCCAATTCTCAAGTATATAAAAATGACGGTAGATAAGAATTGTTTTTCAAGAAAAACATAAATCAAGAAATTGAAATATATACTGATATAGACTGGACTAATTCTATAACTAATAGAAGATTCACATCTAGATACCGTATATATGTTTAGGGAACCTATTTACTTGGGGAAACAAGAAGCAATCTGTGGTATTAAGAAATATTATTGAGGCTGAGTTTACAGTTTTATCACATGATATCTGTGAAGAAATGTGGCTATGAAGAATATTGGGTAAATTAAAATTCTCATCTTCATAACCTATGAAAATGTTATGGACAATCAATCCATAATACCCATAGTAAAAAACCTATTTTATCATAACCAAACTAAATATGTGGAGATTGATAGACATTTTGTTAAAAGGAGAGATTTAGGAGCCTATCTTATGGCACATTCAATCAAGCCATCAAACCACAGATTTTCACCAAGTCATTACCTAGGAAAACTTTCAAAGAATTAAATTTCAAACTTCGTTTGCTCAACATTTTCAAAACAGTTTGAGGGGGAGCATAGTAATATGACTTCTTGCAAAAGTTCAATTCCTATGCAGATTGATATGTTCAGAAAAATCTCTCCTTAAGGAAAAATCATACTTCCATAACTAAAAGTTCTTTTCTTTTTATGGAATTAATTTGTATTTAGTTTTATACTAAAATTCTCTGTAATCTTCTCCTATATATATCCAAGTGTTGTAAATTAAACATCATGAACAAAAATTCAGTACACAAAAAATTTAATTACAAATTTTCAAAAAGTACTGAAACTTTTTATAGGAATTTTTCATACATAATCTGTCTAGAGACGTGTTTATTAAATGAGTAGAGAAGGTAGTTATTTTCTGAAAGTTTTCTTCTTAGACATAATTTAGTAACTACCCTTGCTTTAATCTAGCCTTACCCCTACATAAGGCTTACATAAGACTACTGATACAACATAGATAGTTTATAAAATATGCACATACAAATAATTAATTATTTTCCAGAATTACAAGCCTTCTGCCTCTTCTTCTTCCTCTGGTGCACTTTCTCAAAGTTGTAATTTTGCCACTGCTATGCCTCATAACAAAGAAGCTTGTGCCTACCCATCTTACCATCTGCTAGTCTTTTGATAAGAGTAGAGACCATTAGTTACAAGCCCTTTGAATTCTGATCTCTTCATTGATGGAGCAGATCAAGGGGACTCACTAATATTTTAACCAAGTACTTAAGTTTCTTCTTAATAGGGGCACTTCGTCCATGTCTTTCAACACTTCAAGAAGAAAAGATGAATAAATAAATAACTCTTGCCTCTTTTATAGAGGCAAGGAATAAATTTTTCTTCAAAATTATTGCCCGAAGAAAAAAATTTAAATAAAATAGAGAAATTGGCAGAATATTGGAATTTTTATACTAGGACTCAAGCTACATGATTTCTTTGTTTTCAAAGAAAATTAGACCATCAAAACATAGAACTCAACCTTTTATTTCTTTTTTTTTTCAATTGTTTGTTTGGTACTCTATGAACTATAGTTGTAAACAATGGAAGTGGAATAAAATGCTGAGGATTGTACAAGGAAAGGCCAAAAACAAGATCTAAATAAGAATATACATCTTTCTAAGTCTTATGCCTATATATATACTTGGGAAAGATATCATCCTTTTTCTCCAACAAAAAGGGAAAAATAATATTAGCAACAGAAGAAACTCCAGCAATCAAGATGGAGAGGCTAAGAGATCCTCCAGCCAAAAGAAAAAGAATTAGGACAGAACAGCAACCAAATTCCTTTGCAAAGAAGATATGATCCTACGCAAGGAGCATTACCAATGACCATAATAAAAAAATTGTCTTACTAGGAGATGATATACAGTTTAGAAGAAAAGGACTGATTTTGAGACCAACATAAACAAACCTGAAGGATGGAATCCACCTCACGAATATGCGACAAGAATTTGTTACCTAATCCCTACATGAAATGGGTCAAAGAAAGGTAAGTTAACATATATCACACGGTTGCATATCAATAGTATGAGTTCCCTGCCTGCATCAATAGAATGATAAATAACCAGTCATCACCTCCCCTTGACTCGCACCCTTCACAAGTCCAGCAATATCTACAAATTCTATGGATGCAGGAACCGCTCTTTGAGATTTGCAGAGATCAGAAAGTACATGGAGACGTGAATCTGGAACTGCAACAATTCCTACATTTGGCTCTATCGTACAAAAAGGAAAATTAGCAGCTTGAGCCTTTCCATTCTCGACCTACAACCATATTATTGATCACTAAAACACACAAGAAATCACAGGAAATGTAGAAAGCATTAATAAAAAATAACATCATCAAACAATGAAAATATGGGGGGCAAATAGAGGGGCATTCCTGGAGATAAGACTATCAAACAAAGATGAAAATCCTTTTAGAAAGGAAAAAGAGAAAGATGACAGCCATATTAAGCAAACAAAATAACTGATGCAAATGATCAATGTTTTCCCATGCCAGAATACTTAGCCCCAAAGCTTATTGCCCAATCCCGCTTATCTCTGTTGATTTCAGACAAAGAAGATAGGGAAAATCACGTGCAAGGTTCCACTAATTTTCCTTTCATCGTAGCTCAAGCATATGAAAGACATAAGTTGCACAGGAAGCTGTTCGTAACACAAAAAACAACTAAAGGAAGAAACTACTTTGCTTAAATCTAAGGATTAAATCAACCTTTCCTAAAAAAGATCTACACCATGCAAGTATTAAACAACTAAGATGGACAAAGCTCTAAACTATGGATAAAAGACAACCATCAATTTGGCAGAAAAAGTGTCAGACTTCAAAAAGAACAACGCCAATTGTCAGTCCCCCTCTGTCACAAGATTTGGGTACATGTTAATCACTAAAAGGTCATTTATGCAAAACGATACTTTCTCCATCTAAGTCATTTACCAAAAAAAAAAGGTCGTTTATAGTTCTTCCAACACTAATTGAAATAAACAGATCCTGAAAATAAAAATATTTGGATAAAGTGGGGACATGTTATGAAAATCCCCAGAACATCATGCATGCACTACCTTGCATCATAATGCAAGCTAGTGTACATGCTCAACCAATCATTAACGAAGATGCTTGAACATTCAAAGACCTAAATGATCTTCCACAATACTGAGTGACTTAACCCATGCAGGATGACTCTTTGACCTGAATGATCACGGCAGGATGAGATGGAACAATTCACATATCTCATTATTCACAATACGATTTAACATAATTATGCAGAATAAGAAGATCCAAACTTTGAAAAATTTTAGTATTAAGAAAGATTTACGTAACTATTAATGTCATTCACTACATTTCATTTATTTAGCTTATTTAGGTAGATTTTAGTTTATTAGGATTTAGAATTTTGAATTTCTTTCTTATGATCACAAATTTTTCATAGTGCCTATACAAAGGCTACTAAACACAGATCAAAATAGACAATGATGATGAATTAAGAACTCTTGTGTTAGTATTTTATTCCCTGTTATCTCTTTATGTTTTGCCCTCTAGTTATTGTTTTGTCTAACCTATCATATTATATTTTTTTTCTATCAGCCATTGCTAAACCTTAATCCTTGACTCCCTCCAGACTATTCACCCACTTTCTAAACCATCCCGGGACAAGTTAGTTTAAAAGTTTCTTGTCCTAAAGCAACCGGCACTGAATTCTAACTTCTATCCTCAACTTTCTTATCAGTCTGTTACTTTATCCCAAGAAAATCTGAGAACATCGGTCGCCCCTTGTACAGATTTCCATGGCCAAACATTGACAAAAATCTCCATGCTCCACCTGCTCACAACCGTTGTGACTCCTCATACCAGGTTGTTCTTGGCATCAACAATAATCAACCATCAATCTGCAGCCACCATTACAGAACAAGTTTTCAACAAGATGTGGTGATCGGGGACCAGCACATAGCTCTCATACATGCATGACCCAACATGGATTAATGCTACTTGATTGGTTCGCTCAGCTATAAGCAAACCTATTTGCCAGATGGATTCAGGACTTTCCAAAATGCTATTTCAAAGGTTCAAAACAGTTCCTAAAATTTTTCATTTTTATTATAGTCAGCTTTAAGGTCAATTTAGTTAAAGTTGAGTCTGTACTTACTTTTAGATAATATTAAATACTTAAGAATGGTAAAGGTGGCAACTTGACATTGAATTTAGGCTGGTTGTATAATCTACACGATCTCATGTAATATGTTGTACCAAGTATTTGATCATTATATCTGGTGAAAAGAATTGAAATACTTAGGTATGTCAAGCTAATATCCAATAGCAACATCTGAAAGATGTCGTCTATGCTAGAATTCTCAAAACAATCAATGATTTATTAGAACTGTTGTCGGATGAGTATCGAGTAGGCATTTGTACAATATGTAAGAGTTAAAGAATTACGGAATTATTTGAAAGAGTACAGAGCTAAGCTTAAGATTGTAACCACTTCTGTGTTTGAAGATGAAAAGCTGGAAATGTCTTGCAAATCATCATTTGTAGTACAAGAAACGGATGCTCATGTTGAACTTGTTTCCATCTATGGTAATCGTATCGAGAAACTTCCTTCTTCACCAGGACTTTGTTCTGCATCATGCTCTAAGCCAGACCCTTCCGATGCATGATACACTACATAGAGCTGTTGTGCGGTACTATTTTGCCTTACTGGTTTCATGATCCTAAGAAAAGTACAATTTCGGCAACTTTAAGTTTTCCCATAAAGATCATCACCCAACATTTTAAAGAATTTGAAGAGCATGCTCAAGCCTTTTTTATGTTCATGCTTGGTCATTTGATAACTCTGGGTCCAGTTCGGAGGAGAATGATAATAATTAAGAAGATCCTAATTTGGAATAAATTAATTAGTCATGATCAATCATTTATCAAGTGATCAAAGCAAGAGGTATAGAGTACAAATTATGACGCTACTCTGTTTTTTTTTTATAATTCCAACCAAGAACATTTCGTTAGAGAACAAACATATACATTGAATTACATGCATGAAGAATGTATCCAAAAAATGCGCGTGTATATATATATATATATGCCTACCAAAACTTGTCTGCATTCACGCAGAAAGAGAGTGAGAGAAGGAAAACAAAAAACTCACAACGGCATTGAAGAGAGTGGATTTGCCAACATTAGGGAGGCCAACGATTCCTGCTTTCAAGCTCATGCTAAATCCGGAAGCAGAAAATCGCCTTTTGATCCCAAAGAGGCCCATCAAACGAGACCTATCTGCAAATTGATTCTGGTTTGCAAACAACGATGATCTTGTTGGTATTGCGCTTAAAGCAGTCATCAAGTTGCTTCGAGCTATTATCGCCATTTCTTCGTTCTTCCTTTCACACACTGAAAGTATAATGTTCTCAAAAACGAATTCCTGTGATTCTCGGCGAGAGAGAGGGTTTTATCTTTTGACGCCGGAGGGAAAGGAAGGCCACCGTTTTGCTGTGTTTGGTTTTTGGCGCTTGGGCAAAAATGCAGGGTTTAGGTCTGGTTATCGTACAATAAAGCTTATCATCCACATATATCCTAACCCTATCCAGTGCTGCCACGTATATAGACAGGCATCCCATTTATAAGTTGGTGTGTGAATGAGCAGTATGCGGTTCGACTGAAAAATCGAACCAGACTAATGTGTTTGGTCAAGACTTAACCGGATCGATGTGTTTGGCTTAGACTATACTGAAGTACTTTACATACAATTTAATCATAGATCTAATTAGAAAAATTTGTTATAACTTCGTTTCAATTTGAATTAGTTAATAAATTTTTTAAAATATAAATAATTTATAATAAATATGTGTATATCGAATAAAATAAATTACGTTAATTGAATTTTTAAGTTAACAAATGCAGTATGTCAGGTGAAAATTAAGTATCT